AAGTCCGCAAGAAACTCCAACTCTTGAAACGTTACAAATCACCGGGCCCAGACGACTTACCTCAGGCTCTTTTTAAAGATGGTGGTGACTTTTTGACTAAGGGACTGACGACGTTGTTTACAAAGATCTGGGAACTAGAGAGTGTACCAACGTCATGGAATGAGTCGATAGTTGTCCCTATCTTTAAAAAGGGTTCACGTTGTTCCTGTAACAACTATCGGGGGATAAGTCTACTTCCGATTGCGTCCAAGCTATTGGCTTCCGTTATACTTCGTAGGTTGTTCAGAACCCGAGAAAGATTGACTCGCGAGGAGCAGGCTGGGTTTCGTTCTGGTCGAGGATGTATTGATCATATCTTCACCCTCCGCCAAGTGTTAGAACACCGCCATACTTATCAAAGGCCAACAATCGTAGTGTTTCTTGATATCAGGGCTGCCTTCGATTCGTTGGACAGAACTGTTCTCTGGGATTGTCTATTGAAGAAGGGTGTGCCTGAGAAGTTTATTAACATCCTAAAAGCCCTATACACAAACACCTCAGGCAGAGTGAGGGCATACAATCACCTTTCTCCACTATTCCATTCGAGCAGTGGGGTTAGGCAGGGTTGCCCAATCTCACCATTCCTCTTCAACTTTGCCATCGATGACATTCTGGAAACAGCTCTGATGGATGTAAGTAATGGTGGTGTGGATCTGTTGCCTGGAGAAAGAATTCTCGACCTTGAGTATGCGGATGATATTGTCTTACTGTGCGAGAATGCCCAAGCCATGCAATCCGCACTTAATCAGTTGGCAATCAGTGTCCGTAGGTATGGTATGTGCTTTGCACCTTCGAAGTGCAAAGTTCTTCTACAAGACTGGCAGGATTCTAATCCTGTACTCACTCTGGATGGTGAGCAGATTGAAGTAGTCGAGAAGTTCGTGTATCTAGGTAGCTGCATAAGTGCTGGTGGTGGTGTGAGTGATGAGATCAATGCTCGTATAGTGAAAGCCAGAGCGGCTTATGCCAATCTGGGCCATCTTTGGCACCTTCGTGATGTTAGTCTGGCTGTAAAAGGTCGGATCTACAACGCGACGGTGAGAGCAGTTTTGCTCTATGCTTGTGAAACCTGGCCTCTGCAAGTTGAGGATGTTAGACGACTCTCTGTGTTCGATCATCGTTGTCTCCGAAGGATTGCTGGCATCCAGTGGCAACACCATGTCAGTAATGCAGAGGTTCGGCATCGAGTGTTCGGTCACAGAGACGATAATGAAATTGGTGTCACCATCTTGAAACACCGACTTCGGTGGCTTGGACATGTTTCTACGAATGTCGTCCCAGAGGATTCCTCGTCGTGCATTATTTGCCGACTCTGGGACTGGTTGGAAAAAGCGGAGAGGTGGTCAGTATATGACATGGTGTCGTGGTATTAAAGAAATCTGCAAAGGGCTGGCTTCTGTTGGTCCTTCACCACTCCCTGGTTGGGGTCCGAAAGACGGTGTAACGCAGTGGCTAGAGACGTTATTAGATATGGCTCAGAATAGAAGCCAGTGGCGATCCTGCTGTAACCTTCTTTTACTTTCTTCATAAAAAGTGGTTGTATCTTCCTTAACTGAAAGATCTCTTCTGACTGTACCTTTCCGTTTCCCCCACCATTGTTCTGTCTCTCTCCCTTTTTTTTATAATTCCCCACGTTCATTGCTTTTTTTTCTCTTTTCTCCTTCTCTTCAAATTATCATTGTTTTGTGTGGCGCATATATATTTGGTGCCCCCCTTGTACCAATATTTATGTGTTCAAATAAATAAATAAAAAAATGCGTCCAACGTGTTTCACTGATTTCAAGCACCTTAATGTTGTATCTCCTCATTTCTGAAGCGATTTGGATGACTGTCTCGGTCTCTCGCATTGTATGAGCATTCCATGACGTTGTTATTTGACATTATTAAAAACAAAGTATTAATCCATAGTTTTATTCTTGATAAACAGTTAACTATTTTGAGATTAGATGGTGGTTGGAGGTAGTCAACAGGAAACCCTGGACCAGGGTTTCGTGATACTTGGCACTCGTTAGCAAGGTGTACCTGTAAACCTGAGGGCACATTGCAACTTGATCGATAGCATTCGATCTTCACTAATAAGGATTTGACACACATGACATTGATCACCACTCAGTGATCAATCAATCATGAGTTAACTATTTTATATTGTAGATTCATCTATTTACAATTTATAAAAATAAAAATGTAATTGATACACGCTATTTAGATGAATATTCTCACTGTTAAAATATTTTTAATTGTCAAGTATAGATACAAAAATGTAATAAACATCAATTCAATATTTTTCACTATCTGAAAATCATTGAAATTTATTGGTTAATTATATGAACATACAAATTGTGTTGTTTTATTATGCACAGTAAAATTTAATTTGGAAAGTGTGAAAAAGTAGTAGGTGGGATCGTGGGTGAACACTACTGATAAATCCCATATTAGGACAAAACGGCCTTTCAGTACCTCCAGGGTTTCCATGGTGGTTTAGCTTCAATGGACTCATGAATTGAACTAATAAATTAACTCATTAATTAATTATAAGCTATTCTTTTTTTATGAGATTTAAAATAATAAGCAAAAGCTAAAAACTGATAATCATAAAAATAAAAATGAAAAATACAAAATAAAAAAGTGATTTGAAAGTATTTTACATTGATGAATTTCTTTGTATCATTCCATAACCTATGGGAATGAATTAGTGTTATATCCCGACGAGAATTATCATTGGTAACTCTTAAGAACTATTTATGGACCAATACAGTGCATATAATTTTACTGTATAATTGTTAAATAGCTAAAATATACATATTCATGTTCCTCTTCTTATCAGCTTTATTTTGACACAGACTATTATTATACGATTTACCGTTCTTGAGTTATGCCCAGTCAATTAATTACAGTCTCTCACAGTCACAGCCAATTATGTTTAGATATTGTACAAATGTTATTTTCGATTTTATGGTACGATGTGGTCTGTTTGGTTTATATATAAACCCAGTGTGTTTGAAATACATGATTCATATCGTGGAGGCTGAGATTGGTGCTGTAGACTTAACAGGCACGGTTAGGCAGGCAGAATAACTGATAAAGATTCTAGATTGCTCGTATGGATTTTATGAATGATGGGTCCGGTCTATAAATCACTGTTCTCTAATTGGCGGTATCATTGCGTCATATATTGTTAGAGACATATGGCCACGAGTTATAACAATCAAACACTTGTTGAAGTATTTCTGATGGCATAAAAGAATACAAAGTTTAATTATGATTAGATTAATTCATTTAGATAAATAATTAAATTAAAACACTAAATTTTAAGCTTATTCGTTTAGGAATTTATATCGATTTCGCGACTCAAATAACTTCTGGTTTACTAAGAATCTTTTCTAAATAGTTTTGTGTGAAATACGATATTGTTTTTGATGGAGTTTTGTTCTCTGAGCTGGAGAACAGAGAACAAAACTCCATCAAAATCATCCACCTGAGCTACAAATCTTCTCCACCATCTCACGATATTGTTTCTATTAGTTATACAGCCTTGTCACTCGTTTTCGTTCCATATGGTCTCGCAATTAATTTGCTAATTTATTAATTCGATATTTGTAATAAAAGTAGACTAGGAATTAGTTTCTTAAAATACCATTGAATTTCAGTTAATTCAAAATAAACCACTATGGAAAACCTGAAAGCACTGGACAATCATTTCGTCTAGTATGGGACTCCCCACCAGTGCGCATCCACGATCTCGCCTCGCGAGATTCAAACCCAGGATCTATCAATCTCGCATACGAACACTTAACCTCTTGACCACTGAGTCAACCGGCATCCAACGGTGTTAATGTCTAACTTCAACCATGAAATTGAACGACATATCCATCATTGTCTTCAGCGAGATACTATCTCACAACAGACTTGTTTGAACTTCACTGGTCACTGCTTCTCCCCAGAACTCCAGGAAATAGCTCTTTATACTAGGCACTAGTGAGCATGTGTTGTATATACTAGGCTATTTTTAAACTTTAATTTTTTTTCTCAAAGAAACGCTATTTCTTGTCAGGATGAAGCAGATGTGTAACTCAGTAATTTATTATATTGTTAATTAATGAAATAAAATCTTTTGACGTTGTAAATTGTAATCATGCATTTAGTTATTAATTAATTTATATCAGCTTCTGCTTAGTTCAGTATATTCAAATGTAACTACTGACCAGATAAGTTAATCATATATAACACATTATATTTTCATATACTTGGTAATTAGTGGTCGGAGCACAGATAAGTCTTCATGTACACTCTTATCTTCTTCCTAGAATCGAGCCATAGCTTCAGTTGTAACAAGTAACAGTTTCTCTCCAGTCATACAACGTAACCTTTCCAGCATTTTGTCAGTTAAAACACTTACATCAAAATAAAAAATTTTTTAGATGTAACAATAAATTCTTCAATGTATCTTTTCAAATTCAGATCAACAAAAGTGAATCTAAATATGGAGTATTTTTTGTCATTTTAATTCTTTTGTGATCCATAGTTGGTCATATTCACTGGTTATGTAACAAATTTTGATAAATAGTCTCTTTTATTTTGTTTATGTTTTTGCTTACAAGCATATTCATCAATAAATGTAGATCATCAAAATATGAACTTACTTTAACCTAATGACACTGATTATTATCTTCAGTGTCATATTTCACTATTTTTATTAATAAAAAGGTATATGAAATGAGCACACCTGAAATAAAATTTAATTTATGATATTGGTTTCTTATTGGCTGAAGATTTTAGGGAAGAAAATTAAGACTGATGAAAGGGTATGAAAATAGAAGTGAACTTATGAAACCATATTTACACGTTTAGAGGAATCCACTCGTGTCTATTCTGATTGGATATATTAAATTGGACACGGGGTTGATTCAAACGGACAATGTAGTTTTATATATATATTACTTGTTCACTATTTTCAACACATAATGAATATGAGTGATTGTCAGACAACAATGTTGTCTCCTAGCCAAACATTAACACATAATGTACATGATAAATGTAAAGCAAAAAAACACGGTCGACAGTCTACAATACCTCTGGAATATCGAGATCAAACAAGACGAGTAGGTGGTTCATTTATGTAAACATTAGTGACATTTTATAGAAATGTATTTACACTTTATGTTAGTATTCAATTAACTAAGCTTCGATCTATTTTATATAAGAAATCTCTATATTGAATGGATTAAGATGAAAAAACTCTTATTCTGATGGTTTGCAAGGTGACATAGGATTATAGAATACATTATTAGTTAAATTACGAAATGTAGTAATACCGGTAATCAAAATGACATGAATATGGTACTCTTGAATTAATATGGTTCTCTACAAGGTTTAAATATATCATATCAGAATACACCATCCTATCTGCTGATTATGTTTATAGTAATTATTGGTAGTTTAGACATTCTTCCCGTCTTGAGTAATTGGCTTTTGATAACTCGATGAATTCGAAACGGATTTTGATCATAAACTAAACATTAGTTTAAAAAACTATTGAGAATCGGATAACACATGAAAATCGACAGATATTTGTCTCAAAATAAACAGCACACTCATTTGTATCTTAATAACTCTTTAGATTAGGGCTAGAGCTTCAGAGATGGGAAATAAATTTAAGGATAAATCTGTCAAAATCATTGACAGGATCTTTTTAAATGATTGAGTTTAAAAGTGAATTCATGATTGAATGAATTTTCAAAAAAAATCTATGCATGATTTTTGAGTTAATTTCTATTTTTCCACGAATATTAGTTCTTTGTCTAAAACATATAATATGTAACACTGTGTAAAATTATTATGATAATTAACAACTTCTAACCACTTGATTGGCTTTATTAATAAATTTATTATCAGAGGGGGTTTTCGTGAATATTATAATAATTTCATAATTGAGTTCACGAGTCGATTGAGGCTAGACCACCATGGAAAACCTGGAAGCACTGGACGGCCGTCGAAGTTAAACATTAACACCGTTGGATGCCCACTCAGTGGTCTAGAGGCTGAGTGCTTGCGTGCAGGATCGATAGTTCCTGGGTTCGAATCCTGCGTGCGGGATCGTGAATGAGCACTGTCGAGGAGTCTCACAGTAAGACGAAATGGTCGTCCAGTGCTTCCAGCCTTTGTTCACAGTCATGGCTTCCAGGCTTTCCATGGTGGTCTAGCTTCAATTGACTCATGAACTCAACTATCAAATTTATATCAATATTACTATTCGTATTAATTTATGCTTTTCTTGACAGATCGTTTCAACCTAAAATAATGCAGAAGAATTGAATCAAAGGATGATTATTAAGCACAAATAGATTAATTATAAATGAATATCTTATACAATAATGTAATTAGTACATTACATAACAATACATAAACTAATTATTAGTTTTTACTTACATTATAAAACCATATATAACCACCACCGACCTCAAGCAGTTGTACCTTGGGCACTGTGGTCACCCTCTCAAGACCACGTCTAACCCGAATTCCTTTTCAGGTACCTCCAGAAGAACCCTTTCACGGTTTGGGCAACCTGGAAGTGATAACCGCCCTCATACCTCTAACAGCACTCACCACCACTGTATTCATAACTGACTGACTTTTATAAATTAAACAACTTCAAAAATAAAATTTTATCGTTAATATTGTTTATCTGTTTTTAGTTAAAAAAACAAAATCTGGAACGTCGAAGACGTGCATGTATCTCAGATAAAATGAATGCATTACATAATTTAGCTATGAATTTAATCGGTAAAGATGTAAGTTATCAGTTATCTTTTTTATTCTGATTTTTTAAAATTTATTTTGAATATTTTACTCAGTTAATTTAATATTTCATAATCTAGATTTTTTAAGTTTATTAGTCTAAAATTAATAGGGTAATAAAAATTCTTATTTGTGCCATGAACTAAAATTGATTTACAATTGATTGATCACTAGGTGGCAATCAATGTCATGTATGTCAGGTCCTTCTTAGTGCAAATCGAATCCTATCGATCAAGTTGCAATGTGACCACTAGTCTAGGTGACTCAACGTTGAGTACACTATGTTGAGATAAGATGGCGGTTGAAGGTTGTCGGGGTTTCTTGTTGACTACTTCCAACCACGATCTTACTAAGAATGATGCTCATCTATATTTAAATAACCCATTGAATTAGAGTTGCAGAAAATACATCACGTCATTGATTTGAAGAAATGCATAATTTCATATTCAGTTTGTATTGGTTGTTTGAAACTTCCTATTGATATTTAGACCTGCAACTGATCAATCTACTTTGACATACGAGCATCCTATACGGATTGCCTTGATATTGTCATGAATTCATAAGTATAATAAACACTTAGGTAGATGGATAATAAGATGGAGTTTTAAGTAAACAACACTGGATTCCAGTTCAGGAGTGAACATCAACTCTGAAACTCAAATACATCAAACTAACGAGTTCGAAATAGGATGAAACGCATGTTCGGAATTCCACTAATAACTACATTCCATATTTAAGTGATTAGTCTTATCACTAAGGGTATCCTTAATGTATATTCAATACATATTACGAGTGTTACCAATATATTTCTTAAAGCGAATCTGTAATTAAATCATCGAAATATGTTTATGAATATATCTAATCAGTGTTATATAATTCGAATTCTATTCTTACTAGTAAAGTTAACGGTATTAAGAGAAATTATATTAATATATCTATAACTACAACTATTTTATAAGAAACTCTTGATCATTGACTTTTGTTGTGATCTAATAAAATTATTTGCTCTGAGGAATAAGCATATTAGTGTTACCATGGTTATTGAGTTCGAAATACTGAAAAATGTGTAAGCGTGTCATATCACCGGTTTCGTATGAGCTGAAAAAGAATAAATTACTTACGTGTTATGGTTATATATATAATTATTCCTTATTGAATACTGTCAAATACTTTGATAAATTCTTGCCATTTATAAGACGACGTGTCATCGATTGTTATTTTAACCAACTGAACAAGAAATGTACATCTTTAATTCTTGATGCTGAAATACAAATCCATAATTCAAACCAAACAGATCTGATCTATTGAGTATTTCATTTAAAATTATGTAATCTGATTCTGGCACAGCTTCGTAAACACAATTATCCTGTATATTTAATGTACAAAACACGAGTCTTTATTTAATTTAATTCTTAACTTCTGGTTTCTATTGACTACAAATTTGAACACTAATGTACTTTACTCCATATACTGTAAATTATTTAAGATTTATCATCGAAGTTGAATATGTTTATTAAGGAATCAAGATATTTCTAATGAAACATAAATGTCATATATTTAATACTGAGGAGGGATATTCTATTATTTGCCAACATGTTTAATTCAGACTTTATAGGAGCGTAAGTGGAGGTATTAATTTTCATTATAACAAATATAACAAAACGATGTAACTGACCTCATGCCTTTTATTTCTAATTGATTTATGAGCTAAATTTGAGGTTAATCTGTCTATATATATAGCAGATTAAGTAAAAACCATATAAAGTATAATGAATGATCTAGATGACCCATTATTATAATCACTCCATATGATAATTCCATATACATTGAGCACTTGTTTGAGCACATCTAATAAACACCTCATATACAGTCTAAATGACCTAGATTTGACTATAAAACTTGATTAAATAAATCAACATGTACATATTGATTAATGCATTATTTTTGGTGAAAATATTGTTGTTACCTTAAGTTTAATATATAACTTGATCAATAATATGGAAGTACATCAATTTTTTTACTGATGTTTATCTATAATAATTATCCAAGTTATATTGAGATACTAAATTATTTAATGGTAATACAACAAAAGAAAGTTTCTTTCATATATGAGCTGTCATTCATGAATGTTAATAAATAATAACAGTAACAATCGTAGTATCCAGATCATTAATTTAAATGGTAACTAGTAATGCCTAGTATCTAATTCTCAATATCCACAAAAACCTGTCTATCAATTCGTACATTTTGACGAATATACTACTTATCTGTATGTTAGAATTCATTACAAGTGAGATTTTTTTAAGTGGCATCTATTATTGCTGTAACATGTCAGTACATAACACTTATAAATTCATCAACAAGCAATACAGATTATAATCTGAAAGAAATCGTAAATATTTGATGTTACATGAGTAATTCCTTGTGAAAGTCAAGTGTATCCTGATGTTTAGACACCATCATCATTTTTCGAAGTAGAAAAGTGTAGTTGTTACAGTCAAACTATTTTTATTCGGAAAAAGTGTAGATACTTAAAACCATTGTTCATTAAGTCCATTTCTTAAGTTTTCTTATTATTATCAAACAAAGAAGCTTTCAGTTTAAAATGTTCATTAAGCATTTTATATGGTATATTTCTAAACTTTAACACTAAGTAAATATTTTGGAAGATGTTATTTCTTGGAGTTCTAGTGAGAAGCAGTGACCAGTGAAGTTCAAACAAGTCTGTTGTGAGATAGTATCTCGCTGAAGACAATGATGGATATGTCGTTCAATTTCATGGTTGAAGTTAGACATTAACACCGTTGGATGCCGGTTGACTCATTGGTCAAGAGGTTAAGTGTTCGTATGCGAGATCGTGGATGCGCACTTCTGAGGAGTTCCACACTAGGGCGAAACGGTTGTCCAGTGCTTTCAGGTTTTCCATGATGGTCTAGCTTCAAGCGACTTATGAATTCAACTGTTAAATTACTATAATATCCACAAAACCCCTTTCAGAATATCATGAAATTATTATCCCATACATATTCTCATTAGTAAATTGAACTTAATTATATAATTTTTGAATATTGGGCCCCACTTTGTTGAATCCATATGACCGGTCAAGATTATAATCATTAACTTATTTCAATCCAAATCAATTAATAATATATATACTTATGAAAATATTTTCAATATCTGCTTGAATATTTTTTTTCAAAGATTTATTTCGTTTGAATATATTTTTGATTTAAAAAATGACAATAGTTGGAGAACATTTAAGTAACTAAGAGGAAGATAGACAGTTGCTTAATGTTAGGTTAAGATTCCTCAATACCTTTTAATTCATTTGGTATTGTTTACTTGAATCTTCCCATTGATGTTGAGGACTGCTAAGTGGATAACCTGATGGTGTGTTGATGCGAACTGTGCTCGGTTCAAGTCCCAGAGTGAACATCAACTCTGAAATGCAGGTACATCCATCTGACAAGTCCAAAATAGGACAGAACACACATCCTGGATTCCACCGCTAGCCACTATCTATCTTTGCTTGTAGTCAACATCTTTGTTATCGAATTTTAAGCACACTATTTTGTCGATGAAAATAGCAGTTACCTATATTTATTATCATTATATTGGAACTTGATTTAAATGGATATGATTAATTATTTGTCTAGTCAATTCATATTAAATCATTGCTGTATTATTGTTTCTATTTCTTTGAACTATTAGCCAACAGAATATCATAAAGTTGAAAAAACCGATATTTTGAATGTTTGTCACAGTGTTTTTAAAAATGTTGTGGCTATTGTCAACGAACAACCAGGTATGAATTGCAATGTTTTTTTATCAATATATATATATATATATATATATATATATATATATATATATATATATACTGATAAATAAAATTGTTTACATTTTTATTTTGTTAAAGTACCCGATTAACGTATAATGGAACTTATCTTTGATTGAATTCAATTATTCTTTTTGTTGCTGAAAAAGAAGGAGAAATTATCTTTGCTCACTTCATTGCCTATAAATAAATAAATAACTTGTTTCAGCTAGAACTCAGACAATTTAAATCATTAATAACTCGCCATTCAAAATTAGACTAAACTATATGTAAACCAACTGTGTAACAGCTTGAAAACTGAAAAGAGCAAGGACAAAGGTTCAGGTGTAGTCCTAATGGATACAGCTGATTTTGTCACTAAGATGAAGTCAATCCTAGACGATCAATTGGGGTTTAAGGTAGATAAATCCAAAAAAGATTTGACTGATTTAACAGAAAAACGAATCACAGGAATGCTCAGAGAACTTCTAAAAAAGAAAATGATTGATAATTCTACTTACAACGACCTAAGACCACGTGGTTCACGTCTTCCTCAAATGTATGATTTACCAAAAGTTCACAAACATGACGCTCCCCTTAGACCTATCTACTGCTAGAATCTTTGTTCTTGCTCTTTTCAAAATGATAAAGGGAACTATGTGTATGAAACTTGGAAACTATCAGTCTTAATCAATTCACTCTGTTTCTTAGTCATTTACGATAATACTGAACAACAATCTGAGGAGAGACCAAAATTAAATTGATAGAAATATATTGTGTTTTTTTGTTTGTTTATTTCAAGTTAATGAAACTTTATCAACAAATTTGAATAAACTAATCACGTAGCTTTAAATTATTCTGTTAGTTTTATGAATTATTCTATTGGTTAAGTCTAATTAAACTTCTTTATGTTTTAATGGTCATCGTAACAAAAACTTTACAATTCTTTATTGACATGAATTATATTACCTACAAATCATAATTCACAATTATTTGTTAAGTAACAAATTATCTTAACCAAAATCTGTATATTGTGATACACAATAACTGATCACTATATCAGTATTGAGATTTCAGATTATTATTATTATTATTCTGTTAAGAGTAAAGAATGACATTGCATAGAAATTTATTAAAAGATTCCTTTCAATAGATCATTTCAAAAGTATATGATATCAATTTATGAAACTATTTTGATGAATAATTGACTTTATTTTCATAATGTATTACTTCTTTTTTCATAAAAAGATAAAAGTAAATCATTTGAAGAAGTCCAGACAAGTTAACTGGACAAAACGTTGGAATTATTGAAATTTCAATCGCTGAGATTATTTCAAATATAATTTTCATATATAATGAATCATTTGAATTGTTCAATCAATTAATTTTTATTCATTTCTTTAGTTAAATCTATTATCATTTAATAAGTACTAAATAATTATTTGTTTCCCTAAATGAATCTATTTCAATCAACTAATTCTCACTTATTATTATCATATTCTATAAACATTATTTCAATATAAAATAAATCAACTAGTGTTTTACCCCAACTGTCTACTAATTTTAAATAAAGTACAAACTTTAATAACATACTAAAATAAATGAAATCAAATGAAACAACTCAAGGAAAAAGTATACATATCATTCTATCCCTTTATAATGTTTGATTGAACAAATATTCGTGCTCAATTTCGTATATACAATATGAGTTTTATTTTTTATAAAAAAAGGAATGAATTTATCTAATTTTATAGCAGTTTAAATTACAGTGATTAGTTTATTAAGATGTGTATACTTCTATTGATTTTACTGTTATCATGTCAATAACACTATTTATGCGTGTGTATTATTGATTAACTATTAATATTATAAATGATTGTTGAAACATGTTGTATTAGACATTTGTTTGAAATGAAAATTACTCTAGGGCATTTGAGGAGTTCACTGAATAATGATAAAATGATGTATAAGAGCATGAATTCATTTACGTCTTAACCTTGGGTTTTGTGAATGTATGTATACGGAGAGACAGAGGGGGTATTTCATAAAGTTCAGTTTCACTGATTAGATATCAATTTCCCAGACGTCTGTTTTCATCAGGCAGTTGAAAACAGTTGGTTTGTCAAAGAGAGAGACCTTAATATATGTGTGTACATATGCGTATGATGGTGAGACAGAAATAAAGAAATACTAATAAAAATCTGAATATTTTTCAAACCACATATAACTTTGGATCATTTTTTCTCATTCCGTCTGGCTATATTTCTTTGTAGTTCATGATAGTTATAATCCGTGTAAACTTGTTTAATACATCAATTAAAAGATACAAACATCAGAAGAAAAGTTTTCATTATATCGGCGAACTGTGTAATAAGTGCGACAATGGCTTAACTTTATCTAAGTACTTTCTTATATGTTAAATATTGATAACTAATCAAATATTGTGTATGGTATACAGAGATATCGACCTTACTTGAAATGGCGCCAATTATGTTTTATATACACCTCTCATTTTGATCAAAATGAAAAATAAAGGTCGTTGTTGAATGGAAAATAAAAATAGGCATAAATTAAGATTCTCGAACTAACTTAGAATAAGGCATTCTGAAATAATTTTATGTATACTGTATAAAGTATACGCTATATAATTATTAAAATTTCAATATTCAGATTTGATTTGGCTACAAGTGTATGGTAAAAAAGTGTTTACTTTTTGGAGATTTAAACATCTGAAATAAATTGGTAGTAATCTTTATAAACATCTTTCTTATGATAGATCAATTGTTCGGTAAAATAGTTAAGTGCCCATTGACCAATGATCGGTTAAAAAAAGCGTTGAGTACAAAAATGTACTCATTGACCTATACTAAAATATTACGAATAATAGTAAACCGATAGCTAATCATTTGAAAGACGTTCAACCAATGTGGTATTACTATGAGTTATATATCGGATAGCTACTAATTGGCAAAAAAACGCAAATGAAATTTTTCGATTGTAGATTCATTTTTACCTGACCTTTCAACAAGACTAACTAAATAGTCGTTATGTAAGTGCCCTATATTAAAAAGAAAGATTTTATATAGAAAAGAAGGGTTAAAGTAGCTTTTTACAAACCGTAACATTCATCAAATTACTAAAGATAACTTATGACAAGTTTCAACACAAATGACATATCCAGACACAAAATGTAAATGCATTTTAAGAATGAATTAACTTTATTATGAGCCAGTTATGCAATAAAAAAGTTTTTTTCGAGCAATATTCCATATTGTTTTTCTTTCTTTTTCTTCAGATATACTTGAACGTGTACATCAACTTCGTGATAAATTTTACGACAAATTAATCACAAATCATTCTAGTGGATCAAAAAATAAACACAATATCAGTAACGATGAGAATAATAACAGTAATGAGAAATTTCATTTAAACAATTATACTCCATTTAATCATCCTTTGAAAATATATTCACATGATAATTCTAATGATAATGATATGAACAAACCACGTAATTCATTAAATACTTCTATTTCTAATGATATTTCATCTCAATTGACTAATTATAATTCATTTCAACATTTCAATGCAAAACTTCATTCAACTCCTTTAATATCAATGAAGGCATTGAAAACTTCAACAGATAATAATAATAATATTAAACCAATTGTTACTACATCATATTCACAATCTCTGGACAGTGGTATTGAAGATATTGAAGATACACAATCAATAAATTGTATACAATCACAACAGTTATTACAAATGTCACAACAAATATTTAAACAAAACTATGATAATATAAATCAACCAGTGGAAAATGAAGTTTATGAACAAATAATTGATTTATCTTTTAAAAAACAGAAACAGACTAATCATCATCATCATCATGAGGAAATTCATCAAACTAAGGAAGAACAAAATGTTTGGCGACCATATTTAGATTGATGAATTTATATTCTATCTGGCTTATTTTTCTACTTCATTTTCTCTTTAACAACTATGAATCAAAAGAAGTATATTCAACTGGAAGAAAGCATCAATTTATTATTATTTTTATACTTTTGTTCAGTTTTATTCTTAATAATTTCACTTTTCCTCCCAGTAACTTGCCATATTCATTACTGGTTTACTCATGAAAAATTTCCATAAATAAATAGAACAGTATCGATACATTAATGACTGTTTTTTCTAATTTTAGTATACTTTTTTGTAAATTAGCGGTTCGAATAGAAGAAACGGTACAAATTTCATGATATCCAGAGGGATATCGTTAAAAGATCAGTGTGATTCTTATGAATCGTCTTCGGAGAATCTTCTGAGAAGTCGATTTTTGTAGTAAACCTATTTCGCTCCACCCACCCCGATTTCGAAGAGTTCTTCCCCATATTAGTCAACGAAAACTCCTTTAGGCGATATCAGGTTTATAACTATGGACATTACCATGACCACCAGTTTGTGTGTAACACCCTTGTTTCTGACCGCAATGAAATCGAACGTAGTATCAAATGGATTGTCCCCAAGTTTAAAGTTATAGAACTAAAGTAACCTTAAAATGTCTTGATTATCATTGGCGACGTAGCATACTTACTTGTAGTCACTCCATTCAGTAATATCTTGGATTACAGCTTTCCGATAAGCTTCAGTTAGCCAGCTGTTGAGTCGGTTAACAACAAGGTAGATCTACGTTTTGTTAACACGGTAATTATGTCCGAGTCATTATCTAGCTGTAAACATATTCAGTAACCAATCACAACTCCTACATATTTCCGTGATGATTTTTTGGATACCTAGTATGTAGCAAAAGCATTAGATTTCACTAGTTTAGAGCAGGAGCCAACTTTTATTCGGGTATTTGATAGAAGGAGCTACTTTTATCATTACAGTAGGTATCCTTATGTATTGGAGAAAATCTGTGATCTAATATAATGAAATCTGTTTATATCCATTTATCTTGCTTACATAATCATCAAATACGATATTCCATAATTGGGTCAAAATTCAAAGCTGGTTAAAACTTCCGCAGCATTGTCAATATCCAAACAGTACTAAGTTAAGTTTAGTTACCTTATATTTATGAACAGTATCTGATCAAAATGTATTTTAAAGGGTTAACTTTCGTCATGAATTTTCATGCTCTACTAATGAGAAAGCTATTGATAATTAAACTCATTCTTAAAATCCTAGTGGCAAAATAAAAAGACAAATGAAGAATGAGTAGTTATTCGTTGTGTTTATTGAGTCATTTTTAGGTTATAATTCTACCAGTTGTAAATAAAGGAAGGATTGGTTGTGAACCTACTCCAATAAAATCATTATTCGTACTCTTGAATGTAGATTAAGAATATTTGATATCCCTATATGAATATTGAAATATATTTTACATATTATTTGATCATAAACAGTAAAATTTGTGTACAGTTTGACATCTCGCTTAAAACTAATCCACTAATTTTACATAAACTTCACAGTTAACAAGATTTAAAATAGAAGAATTGGACAAAGGGAGAAAAAGGTAACTAGTCAACAGGAGAAAAAAATGCGAAAAACGCATGAAAAAAAAAAACAAGTCGACATTTAGCTTGTCATAAAATAAAATTTTTATTCATCTACAAGCGTCATTATGTTAATTTATTCCCTTTTATTCATTGTAATCATCTAAGAAAAGAAACCTTCTTAAAGTACATCACATCTTTCTTATAAATTTACATTACACTATCTTATCCAAAGTGCTTGAAAATTAAAAAAAACAAAACAAACAATTGATATGACTTAAATTAATTGTTTTAAAATTTCTTACTACTTAAAATATATATATAACATTGTGTATGCTTATCTATATATGGAGAATTCCAGATATTCAATTAATGAATAACTGTCTTGAAATCTTAGTTTTCATGTAAAATAAATAAATACACATTCAATATCATACATTGTATTTGTTTTTAGAAATTGTTGTCCGTTTATAACATTAGTTTCTTCGAATAAAATTAGATAATTGATATTCAAGTTGTATTGTACGACTTACTCAATAACGTACAGTATTAGTTTTAATAATTACTGGAAATTTTATAAACGTAAACAGTAATTTTGAAAATATTTACTTTGTACATAATGGTTAAATCTCTGGTGGTATAAGTTTATCCATATTGTCAATAACATTGACAATGTATCACGTTTAAAAGAATCGATCAAAGTAAAGACGATGCATGAAAGTTAATTTATTACAATTTTACATAGTTCATTGAAATTTGTTTATGATATTTCTTAGTCAAGCCTCTTTCCCAAACGTGACTTAAGTTGATCTAAAGAAAGAATATAGTTTTTCTCAGAAACAATAAACTTATTCCAATGACTCTATATTTTTTATTCCAATTGAATGTAGATAATTAGAGTACATAATTAACAGAATTACATTTATCACTAAACATAATAAGGAATCGAGAGATATAAATGATATTGCAAATTTCCATAGCGTACAATTATATTGGTCGTTAAGTAGTACAATACGTACATATTGAAGTTAGACATTAACACCAATGGATGCCGGCTCAGTAGTCTAGTGGTTAAGCGCTCGCTCGTGAAACTGATAGGCCATGGGTTCGAATCCCACGAGGCGGGGTCATGAATGCACACTGCTGAGGAGTCCCATAATAGGACGAAAAGGCCATCCAGTGCTTTCAGGTTTTCCACGGTTGTCTAGCTTCAATTGACTCATGATCTCAACTATTGAAATTACTAAAATCTCCATAAATCCTCTTGTGGTACTAAAATGGTTTTTGTTACAAATTACAACCGGAGAAGTGTTAAAAATCGACGTTTGTCATGACTGTTAGATATTTGAATCATTCCTTGGTAATACTTTATGGTGTTCAATATCTCGTAATATTTCTAAAACTTTAATCAAATATTGTTGTACCGTATTGCAATAATAGATAACGTACAAATCAATTTAATCATGCATAATAGAGGCTTTCATTAGGTTTTAATAGCTCTTCAGTAGTGATTTTCCCAAAGTCATAAAAATAAAGAAAACAAGTCCTGACAGATGATCTTTTATTACTTCCAAGAAAGTTATAATATGATACAACTAGTTTGTTTATATAATAACAACAATGACCTTTAGAATATAAAACAAATTAATAAATTAAAAAAGAAGCTAATAAGTCAGAGAATAGTCGAGTTCAATGTGGTATGTTAACATTGAATTTTGACAAAAAGGGAGGAAAATAGATTATTTGAAGCTTTCTTAGCAGTCGTCAAGTTTTAACTTTCTGATCATAGTCCCAATCTGTTAGAAAAATAAAGTCAGACTAAAGTTATTTTTAGTTTGTAATTCAATGTATTGTCAACTTAACAAGGGAAGATTATTAATATTTTATTTTAATAAGAAATTCAACTAACGGACGGCTATTTTATTTTAACAAGTTAGCTCTCTAATTTGGAACATTCAGTAAGTAATCACAATGAAAATGTTACGGAAAACATAATATATACTACAACTTACCACTCAATGTTATTTTCATCTTATCTCATGATTACTAATTAAAATTCATATAGACCCATGTCTCGTTTAACTCTAGTCCCTTCAGCTTACTTATTTTACAAGCAAAGCAAAGTGATTTATACTTCTTCAGTGTTCACAATTAAATTATTAGCCTAAAAATATCTTCAGTTATATATAAATATTACGAATAGTAAATTTGATATATGAATTCATTTGGAAAAGTAACAACAACATAAATTGTGAATTTTAACCAGTACAAAAATACCACTTGAAAAAAAAACATGATACACTTGTCCCAATGATATTGATTATTGATACAGAAAGATTTTAACATCGTATCGAATAAATTTTATTTCAATAATTTAAAAATTTTTTTATCCAACTACTGACAATCATGATAAATCAATAGTTCTTCCCCTCTCTCTCTCTATCTATCTCCCTTTCAGTACTTTATTAGTACTTCATTACAAATAACAGTACAATTAATGAATAAATAATAAATAAAAAAATAGGTTCATATTTGTGCCAAATCAATCTGTAAACTAGTTTAAACATGTGTACAAAAAATAAATTTCTATAAATAGAATGTCAATAAATTCATTAACTGTTGTTGTTGTTGTTTTTTTTGTTTCTCTCATTTGAAGATATTCAATTCATGAATTCATTAAAATTATTGACCTATTTGATATCTTTAGTCATATGAGTCATAAGTAATACATAGTGAAAATAGTTTATTTTTTTGGTGTGTTTTGTTTTTTTGAGAACACCTACGCATAAAAAATATAATCAGTTCTTTATTGCGAATTAAGTTAAACATTTATTTAAATCTTCCCATTGATGTTTAAGATTGTAATTGATTAGTCTCTTATTGGCATATGTGTATCCTGTGCAAATGGCTTCGATACTGTTAGCTACTATCCACCTTTTCTTATAATCCTTGTGATGTAAGGCAATATTGAGGCAATCCGCACATGATGCACATATGTCAATAAGAAACTAATCAATTGCAGATCTAAACATCAATGATGAGATTCAAACAAACAATACAAAATAAATTTAAACTTCAACCTATTACACAAGCTAATAATTATTAGGATCCAGTAGCTAAGTAGATAACGCAATGACGTTTGAAGTGAACGGTATTAGGTTCGAGTCACGGATTCCATTACTAACCACCAACCATCTTTACCTTATACTCATTTATGAATGGCAACTTATGAAGTAGGTCACAGCTTCAATGTATCAGTAATTGAAATTGATATTACATGAACATTCATGAGAAATTATAAAGTACGTAAGTTATTTTTTCTCAATTTCATTACATGTTTCTTTTTGAAAATAAGCAAAACTAACCGCTTTAGGTCGTTGTTATTTAAATAATTTATAATTTTCATTAACTTATAAATGAATGAGTCTAATCATCAATAGCTATCTTGAAAGATTACAAAGCAAGATAAACTGTTAAATATTGACATTGTGATATCTTTACTGACATAATACAAATTTACAGAGATTATTCATTCTGAAAATATAAATCATTAGACGTGAAGTCAGTAGTCTAGAAGTAACACACTATATTCAAGGTCTAAAATTTTCTAGGTTCAACCCCTATCCGAATGATGATTGCACACAATTTCAAAGTCTTAAGCA